GCATTAAGTCAACCTTCAAATAATTAATAGCATTTAAGTCCTGCATAATTCATGTAGGCCCAAAAGTCTACACGCCATTACCTTGCTTGGTTGGTTTTCATGTACAATTCAAATCAAATTACTCTTGAGGTGATCGCCATAGCAGAACACGAAGCAATAACATATTTTTGCATATCTACCTCAACATTCGTTTTGTCTGAGAATATAATATTTCACCACTTGCTGCCGTGTTTCATCAAGCAAATTAATTTTATTAATTAAAAACGTTTATCTCATTGTGTTGCCCACCAAATTATCCAGATCCATAATGTCATCTGTTTCAGTATGTTTTCAAATATGTGAATATTCAATATTTAACTTATTGGCTATTTGTCGAGGAGATAATACTTGGTTTTAAATAAAAATAGATTTGTAACATGTTTTTTCAGAGAATCTCGACCATGATTTTGGAGTTTCATGCTGTATGACTTCACTTGTTATGAGGCTTTTTCAATATCTAATTTCTTTGTGTTTTCATCAGTACTATTTCAAAATTAGAAATTTAGAGTTAATAAATGCTAATGAAAGTCAAATTAAATTATTTAAAAAAATTATATTATTATTTATATTATTTAAAATATATTATTTATATTATTTAAAAAAATTATATTAATTTTAAAAATAAAGCAGTATGCATTAATTTTCAACGAACAAAAAAAATTTAAAAAAATATAGTCGATGTTATAAAGTTACATATAATTAGGGATACAAATGAAATTTTATTGTAACAACTTGTCCATTAAATAAAAAATACGATACTTATTAATTAGAAATAATAAAATATTTAAAAAGCTAACTAGTTTTTAAAGTAATTTTAAGCAAACAGGATATATAAGTAAGAATGCTCTAATTAATGGCCAATGGTGTATGTATCATATATATATATATATATATATATATATATATATATATATATATATATATATATATATATATATATATATATATATATATATATAATATATATATATATATATATATATATATATATATATATATATATATACTGTATTGTATTACATAGTATACTATACTTGGACATATATTATTATTTTTAATATTTTATTATTTTTCAGAGTTTGATTTGTATGCATTAATTGTGTTTGCATACAATTGTTGTAATCGTGTTGTAATATAATATGCACACAAATTTATTGGATACAAATTGTACATAATATATGGTTAAATGATTATGATATATTATAAAAACTATATTTTATAGCTTAAATTACCTATATTATAAAAACAAATATAAATTAAATGCTATATAAACTATGTAACATAATACATTTATATTTAACTTATATATAAATATTTTATCTTACATACTTTATAAGTAACTTGTGAACTTTTTAGCCTTTTTTTTTTTTTGCATATATAGTATAGTCATTCACATATAATTATATATTATAATTTATATTATAATCATTCACATATAATATATATATATATATATATATATATATATATATATATATATATATATATATATATATATATATATATATATATATATATATATATATATATATATATATATATATATATATATATATATATATATATGTATATATATAATAGCTATATACCTTAATATAAATGTATCATACATCTACAAAAGTAGTGTTGGGTGAATTCTATTTTTGTTCAGAAAAAAATTGAATACTCAGATCTGAAAACAATTTCAAATCAAGATAAGACTATTCGAAATAAAAAAGTAAAAATTATTAAATTCTATCGCTCAGATTTTTAGAAAAACAGTTTTGAAAATGTAAACAAATCACGCTTTTAACAGTCAGATAAATGTAGCAGAGAATTACAGTTTTTTATATATTTAAATATCTTTATATTATTTTTAACATTTTTGAATCAACAATTCAATTATCTTTATTATTATTTCATTCTATCAAAAATATGCAAATAATAACTACTAAGTAAAACTTTAAAAATATCGTTGCTACTCAGAAAAAATTTTGGTATCTAAAGGCCGTCACCATCTTTAAAATTATAATATTTGAATTTGACACTGCGCTTGCGTATAATAACTTTCCACATCTAAACGACCGTGATTTTTATGCAATCTTGGAACATAATAATTATTATTATTTGCATTATTAATGTTATCATCATTCTTTTTTTAGCTGATTAAAGTGCATCAAGAAGGAATTCCATTCGTACCACAAAAAATCGTGAAAGAGAATTTAACGAGGAAGTTTACACTATCTTTTTTGCCATATGTTATTTATATAGCCAGAGGAGACATCGAACCGCTAATTATGCGACAATTTCTCTAGCCTCTGCGCCACTGCTGCTCATACAAATTATTTCAGCACCAAATAACGTTTTATCCAAATAAGTGTGTTAGGAAGCACAAATTTTAGAAGATTTAGAAATGAAATTCACGAGTTTATATTACTTAAATGTTTGAAATTGATATTTCCATGTGTAACATTATTCCAAGAATTAAAAAAAAAGAATTTTTATCAAGACGCACATATTTAAATGATTCTAACTGAAATCAATCTAATCCATGGCGTGAAGTTTTCATAAGTTTAAAATTTACGCTTTAAATCTTTTTATATACACGTTCAGTAAACGTCAATCAAATATCTACAATATAAACTGATATAAATCGTTATTCTAAACGTTTGATCGACGTTTAATAAACGTTTATTATATTATAATATAGTAATATAGCCATTGGTCAGAAGACTCACATAACAGCTTAGGTCACGGTGTAAATGCCTGCAAATCAATGGACTCCGATGTTTTAGAAATTATTGATGGCGACATTGATACAGTTAAAAAATATGAGTTGCTGGTCTCTCGTTATGAAAGTCCTTCTGCAAGAACTTTTTTCGTAAGTTTTATAAACAATTTAAATTTATTTTGTAAACGCTCGTATGATTGTGTAACAGTAGGTATTCAACTTTGTTATAATCAAGAGGTTTAATAACTAAATATTTAATTTTTATTTTACATTTTTAGTTACATTTGCTAAAAAAAATTGTTGGAACAGAGCTGGTAAAAACCACTGCATATGTTATGTCGCGACGTCACTAATATATATCAAAAAAAAATATGGATGATACAGGAAATATCGGAAACTTCCATTGAAAAAATCCCACTTTTTTTGTAAACGACCTTCTCTTTTTTTTAAAGAAAATTCTAGATATAGAAGACTTTCTTTAAAAACTGATAACTGTGCCCCTTCCGCCCCCCCCCCCCCTCCACCACTTTGAAACCCGTGTCATCGACCATGTTATAAACGTTAATTAGACTAGATTTAAACGTAAATTAGACAAAACGCTTTATAAAGCGTATATAATTAAATACTTATAATAATCCTATAATATACGTCTAAAAAACGTTTTATGGATGTTTGTTCTAATTATTTATTTGGATTTCATTCTAAACGGATAATCGATCAAATCTGAACGTTTTGTGGAAACGTTGTTTTAACGTTTAATAGACATATGCGTGTTTACTGGGTTAGCAACATTTTTTTTATTAGATTATAATAAATAAATTCTTATATAAAATAATCTTATTTTTTTTTACAAATGTTTGCTGTTTCTCTTAAAGTTGATTGTTTGTAATCATGTAGTAAGCTTTTGACTTTAAGAGCTTACTATAATAAGATTGATTGTTTACAAATCTTAGTATAATAATAAGCTATTATTTAATAAAGTTAGGTAGACAGAACACTTTTTTGTTTTTTCTTTTTTTGAGCTTTTAGTGGTCTTCAATAGGCACTCTTTATATATCCTCTAGCTTTCTATTTTGCAAAACAAGCAGCAGCATTGATTTTCTGTCTCAGATAAAATTTTTATGGTAAAGAAATCAAAAAGAGAAAGCAGCATGACATCTTTTTCCTCACCCTTTTTACAAATGTTTAATTGATATGTCTAACAAAAACCTTGATCTTTGTTTCAACGTTTCTTCCAGCTTGAGTTATTGTGCATCTTATGATTTTTTCATACACAATATGAAGATAATTTATCATTATCAGTGCTTAAAGTAGAGAAAAAAAAGGAACGGAAAAGTACTCAGTAAATTAAAAATACCATCCCGTTTAATCATTGGTATATATAGAGGTTTATAATAAAGTGGCGGGATGGTTTATACTTTATAAAAAGGAGACGGGACAGCATCTCGTTGCATCCCGCCTAACTTCGAGCGCTGATCATAATAATTAATTGTCTGTGTGTTACCATCATGAGACCCAGGGCTGCCATAAGCTTTCATGACGCCCAGGGCATAAGATAATTTTTTTCTGTAGCCAAAAAAGTCAAATCTTCTAAACCTTTTTTTTTATTTTTGTTATTGAAACATAAATGCTATACTCTACCTAAAAATGTATCCGTTTAATTACTAGAGATGAAGGCAAGCTTACTAGAGCCATTCATAAAGGCTTTAAAATTGTTAAACTTTTGCAAATTTTATTTTTCAAAAATACTTATAATTTCATTTGGTGCCCCTTGGATATCTGCCGCCCGGGACAAATTGTTGATTCCCCATTTTGGCGGCCCAGCTTAAAATTGTTGGTATTATAAAGGTGTTTTTCTAAATTTCCTCATCTTCCTTTTTCTAAATGCCACTCCAAGTTTTTTTATATTCTGATTTTTGCATTTACTAAACAGCAGTTATTGTTCAAAAAAACACAGTTGCGACCATGTATTTTTATGATAATATCATTTTAAATATATTATCGTGTATATATATATATATATATATATATATATATATATATATATATATATATATATATATATATATATATATATATATATATATATATATATATATATATATATATATATATATATATATATATATATATATATATATATATATATAAATATACGATATTATCGTACGGACTAATCGAAGAGAAATGTTATAGGAAAATACCTTTTTGCTTTCGTTTTATACTTCCTAATGCGTCCGAAATTTAACAAATTTCAATTTTTTTTTCAAACTAAGAATGTTATAACAAATAAATAAATTGTACTGGAAGGTTTGGGAAATAAAATAATGCAACCTAGTAAAAGTTTAACAATAAGCGACGAGGTTTCATCTATAGAATATTACAAATATTCCAAAGTTTTATTTCATGGCTATGTTGCTCCGTTTTTATTGAGCTATGCTGTATTTTTTCCGGTTTGGATATTCAATGGTTTTTTTAATTACTTTGAACTTGGCTGTGTTTTTCTTGTTGTTCTTGGTATGATTCAAGTTTTGGTTTGTTTGGCATGTCATTGGTCTGTCCATATTTGCGCTGCACTTACGTGCAAAAAAGTTAGTAATTAATTCATTCTGGGTTTGTCACTGAATGAGACATCATAAAATCTAGATAACGCCAGAGAAAATTAAAATATGTTACATATCGGGGAGAAGATAATTAAAATTTATTTTTAGGAGTTTAATTAAATAATTTTGAAATAAAAAAAAAAAATTTTCTTTTTGGTTGTATCATATAAGCTTTAATACACCTTAAAATAAGTTTTAAATAACATAAGTTTTAAGTTATACTATTAAACTTTTGATTTTTAGTATATATTAACTTAAATTTGTGTTTAGTTAGCATCTTTGATGTCACCCTATTGCCGAGGGTTTCAGTACAAACATTGACTTTCTTATAGCCTGCTGCCACAAAGGATTGCTGCTTTGACTGAGGGTTTGGCATAGGGCAGCAATCTTTTCTTTCATTAATATTTGTTTTTTTCTACTTTTTTCTTCGAAAAATTTAAATGTCCTATTTTAATATTGTTAATATTGTTAATATATATATATATATATATATATATATATATATATATATATATATATATATATATATATATATATATATATATATATATATATATATAAGTTTTAAAGAATAATTTAACAGTTACAATAAAAAGACACGACTTAACTAAATGACAATTCATCTTTAGGCTAATCTGTTTAGGCTAAAAAAACAAGTTCCTTGAGCAATGCATTAAATTTGGTAGCACTTGATTAAGCATAATAGCATTTGCAGTAAAAAAAAAATAAAGAGATGCAATTTTACAATAATAAGGCTGAGTACCAAATTATTTTTCAGATCTTATTTAAAAGAGAGAGAGCATCTTTAGAAGAACCAATTTGAATATATTAACACTGTTATACAAGGAAAAATAAGAAGTAAAAAATAGAATTATCAATAAAAAAACTCGCAACTACAATAAAGAAAGACACCCTTAGCAGATGTTAACTTCAATGGATTGAATATATGTTTTCCATGAGAGATTAATAATGAAAGATAATCTGAGAAGATTTAAAGTAACTAAACCTTAAGAATCAGTAAGAGTGTTGAGTAATATCACATCAACTTTTAAACTTAAAATTTAGGAAATATTGAACCATGGGTCCAAGTTTTTCAAATTTCTCTTGCTGATTCATGTTACAAAAAATGAAACCTTTGAAACCCGTGTCATCGACCATGTTATAAACGTTAATTAGACTAGATAAAGTAACTAAACCTTAAGTTGTGCAGCTCGTGAGGTATTTCAATATTAACATTGACTGTTAAATTTTTTTTTTAATTTTAATATTTAGTTCAATTTTTTAGTCACTTATAATCTTAATTGTGTCAAATTATCTAACTTGAAAAAGAATAGAAACATATAAAATTATAATTTCAAAGATGTATCACTTTTTAATGAAATTATTAAAAAATCTTGTTGATATAATTTTTATTAAGTATTATATTTAGTATGAAGATTTTAAAAAAAGCAATAAAAAAAAGAAGATATATTTTAGGAAGAACACAAATAGATATAAAAACTAATGATCTTAATAAAAAACACATGTTTTTTTTTTTTATACAAAAATAGACTAAGTGTGATACTGATGTTTACTTGTTTGTTAAACTTTGGCAATTTAAGTTCAGAAATCTGCATACTTTGTAAACAAAAGATTTCCAGAAGAGAAGATATTAAGGAACATAAGAATTTTTTATTTCTAAAATATAACAAAATAAAGTTTTGGACAAATGTGCAGATAAAGTTTTATAAAATTCAATTGTTTCTAGAAAATCAAGATTACAAACTTTTATCTAAAAAAGTATAAAAATTTTTAACTTATAAGAAAGTTATCTTTATAAACCAAATACCAAAAATAATATTCAAAGTTATTAAAAACATAATTAATTGTTACATCATATAACTTTTGTCATAAACCTTTTTTTTAACTTTTTTTATATTTGACAGATACAATATTGACATTATAACAGTTTAGAAAGATTTCAAAGATTTAAACATGTTTTTTATATATACATCTTTTTTCATCAACTGACCATTTAGTGAAGACCAATTTTTTGTTATAACTTTATTTAAAGCAAAAAATATCAAAAAATATTTATGATACATTTTTATTCACATACATTGAGCAGTAGATTTATATAATCAAATGTTTAAAGGAGATTGGAGGATAGTTTATCTGGTTAAATGTAAAATAAAAATAAGGTTAACTGCAAAAAAATACAAAAAACTGCTACTGGTGCATTGAAACTAAGGATTATACTTACATTAAAAAAACTAATTTTAATAAATAATAATTCAAACAATATAATTCAAAGTGATTCTCAGTAAAGTTAATTTAAAACAATAGTAGTGTAAAAAATTTGATAGTTAAAAAATGCAAAATAACATTTTTAAATGTGTCAATAACTACATTAAAGAATATTTCAATTGTCAAAAAATCTTCATTATAAAATATTCATTTCAATATTTTATAATGAAGATACCTTCATAGTTATGAAAAATTTTCAGCATGTAATATTAACAATGATTTTTTTGTATTTTGGCACACTCTGTCCCACTGTACATCCACAGAAAGTCATCATTCAATAACAATTAAAATAATTATGTTACATTGGTTACAATGTAACTTTCTTTTTGTAATTTCAATAATAAAGCATTGAATTATTATTATTATTGAATTACAGTTGAGTTACAAGTTGGTTTAGTAACTCTACCAAGTACTTGTAGTTTTCATCAGTTTCTAGATTTTAGGAATAACAGAGTTTGGGCAAAGAGGTGTAGTACAGACACTAGCTAAACAAACTTAAAAAGAATAAGATATATTTCAATCTGATGATGATAAGTGGTGGATCAGCATCTTAACTGAATTATTCATCATTGTTGATACTGAAGTTAGGTTCCTCCACCCAAAAGATCTATCAACATATTTCAACTATCCTCAAAGAGTTTTTATAGTTACTGTTTTATTCCTAACAGAGACGTATTTAAAAAACAATCTATTCCACAAGCCTGCACTATTTCTAGTAGAAATTTTGTGTTTGAAAAAGCTGATATATATATATATATATATATATATATATATATATATATATATATATATATATATATATATATATATATATTTATATATATATTAAACATCTTTGCTTCCAACAAGGCTGCAAGCACTAATTAGTTTTGGAAGTTACTGGAAGAGAAAAGATAAAGATTGTAGAGCAAGATAACGATTGACAGATGACTTAAAAGATTGCAAATTATATGAATCAGGAAAGCAAGATGAAGGAAGCGAATTTTGCAATGGCTTTGATATAAGGTTTCCAAGAAAGATCAGAAGTGAGAGTTAATCCTAGAAGATGTAGGGTAGATGACTCGTCGAAAACATTACCATTCATAAATATAGGTAGGTCTAAATTATTGCGATAATGATTGGCTGAAAAAATTGAATTTTATCTGAATTGAAGTTCACCAACCACTGTGAGCCCCATGCTGTAGCAGAAGTGAGATTCTTTTCAAGCTCAAATGCCCCCTGTAAGCAATCAGAGGGAGTTGGCTTCTTTTTGGACAAGAATAATTTTTTTTTTTTTTTTTTTTAAACATCTTCGCTTCCAACAAGGCTGCAAGCAACCACTAATTAGTGTTTGATATTACTGGAAGAGAAAAGATGAAGATTGTAGAGCAAGATAACGATTGACAGATGACTTAAAAGATTGCAAATTAAACAAATCAGGAAAGCAAGATGAAGGAAGCGAATTCCAAAGAACTGATGTTCAAGGAAAAAAACTAGACAAATAAGAGTTTTTGGAGCACTTAGGAACAGTAGCAGAAAAAGGATGAGACTTAATTGAATGATGAGTAACACGAGAATGAATTTTAGTAGATGGTACAAGAGACGCTAGCTCTTTAGAGCAGTGCCCATTATAGTATTTATAGAAAAGAGAAAGAGGAGCAACATTATGACAATGTGACATAGGTTGAAGGTTGGCTGCAAGAGCAGATCCAACTATGTTTACAATGCGTTTTTGCACCTTGTCTTAAAGAGAAAGAGCATCATTAGAAGATCCACCCCAGATATGGCAGCAGTATTCCATACAAGGCCGGATTTGAGATTTATAGAGATAGAGAATAGAATCCAGAGTAAGAAAGTGACGAGCTTGATAAAAAGAAACGACCTTAGCAGATGCTAATTTTGCAACGGATTTGATATAAGGTTTCCAAGAAAGATCGAAGTAAGAGTTAATCCTAGAAGATGAAGGGTAGGAGACTCATCGAGTACATTACCGTTCATAAATATAGGAAGGTCTCAATTATTGCGATAACGATTGGCTGAAAATTTTTTTTATCTGAATTAAAGTTTTATCTGAATTAAAGTTCACCAGCCACTGTGAGCCCCATGCTGTAGCAGAAGTGAGATCCTTTTCAAGCTCAGATGCCCCCTGCAAGCAATTAGAGGGAGTTTGCTTCTTATCGTGACAAGAATAAATGGTAGTATCATCAGCGAACAATGCCACCTTAGATGTGAGAATATCTGGAAGATCGGTAATGTAAATTAAAAAGAGTATAGGGCCAAGGATTGAACCTTGAGGAACCCCTGAGGTTACAGAATAAGAAGAAGAGTGCTGTCCACCAAGAACAACTTTTATACTACGATTGGAAAGGAAAGATTCGATAATCTTAAAGATGTTTCCAGATACACTTTAAGAAGAAAGCTTATGGAGAAGACCAGTATGCCAAACTTCATCAAACGCTTTAGAAATGTCAAGAGCGATGACCTTAACCTCTCCACCTTTATTTAATGCGCGATAAAACCTATCAGTTATTACTGTTAGCAAATCAGCTGTAGAACGAGAAGATCGAAATCCATATTGATGATCAGAAAGTAGGTTATGAGTTTCGAGATGAGAGATTAAGTGTTTGTTAGTTAAAGGTTCAAAAACCTTGCTTATGATAGGAAGAAAACTAATGGGACGGTAGTTAGACGAATCAGATCGCTCTCCAGAATTTTTAAAAATA